GCACCATGAGACGCTTAAGGACGCCTTGGCCCATGCACTGAAGGTAGAAGCCGTGCGGCAGGATCATCGTTCCCATCGCGTCAGGGAGGTTGCAGCAGCTACAGTTCGCGACCGCAACAAAGGATACAGCCCTAGGTGCTATGGTTGTGGGGAAAAGGGCCATCTTCGATCCAGGTGCCCTAAGCGAACCCTAGAAAGGGAAGGTGAACGATCCCAGGAGGGTAGTGCGGCCAACAGCACCGCCCAGCAGCAGCAGGGAAACGAGTAAAAGCCAGAACTGCGGGGCGGGTGCTGGCTGATGTTAAAAGAGCCCCAAGGATCTCGATCTCACAAACCCATGATGGGAACAGCCTAATCATAAAGGGCGAGATCAACGGAATGCCGTGTAAGCTGACCATAGACACTGGAGCCTCTCGTACGGTTGTTAGTTCCCAACTTATAAGTCAGTTCCTTGGGGACTCCGCATACAACCGAGAACGCCTTAATTTGGTAACAGCCACCGGTCAGCGTATACCCGTCCGTGGAGAGAAGGAGATGGAGTTGAAGCTAGGCAACGTGATCTACCTGCATAATGTCATCGTGGCTGATATAATGGACGACTGCATCTTAGGCCTAGACTTTATGAGGAATAATTGTTGTGAGATCGACGTTAAGCAAGGTGTTTTGAAATGTGGACAGGAGGAACTTTTTATGGAAGGTGCGTTACCAGGGAACGTGTACAGCATCAAGAAGATTGTTCTTCCGCCGAGATCGGAAACGATTGTTCCGGTTAGTCTACCTCGAAACGCTGGGCAAGCTCACCGTTGTGTACTTGTGGAAAGGGTAAACAATGACCTTCCATGGAAAGTAGCTCGAACCTTGGTCAGGACCACTGACATCTCAGGAGTACGTGTGCTGAACCTTTGCGACCGGGAACAGATTATAGAAAAAGGCACACTGGTTGGTACTTGTGAGGAAGTGGATTGGTTACGTCAGTGCCAATATATATCGAGTGGGACCCCCAGTAAGGATTCAGAAACGAGAGTGACCACACTTTTGGAACACTGTCGCAGTGTTCTGTCCCCGAACGAATTGGTCAAGGCGAAGAAGTTGTTACTCAAGTACGCCGATGTATTCTCATCAAATGATGCTGACATAGGAAAGACTGGCCTAGTTCAACACAAAATAAACACAGGAGAGGAATTGCCTATCCGTCAGCGGCCAAGATGATTGCCGGTAGCACGTGAAAAGGAAGTGGAAACCATGATTGAAGGAATGGTGATTATTGAACCTTCCTCTAGTGCATGGTGTTCACCAGTGGTGCTGGTGAAAAAGAAGGATGGCAGCATGCGGTTCTGTGTTGATTACCGCCGTCTGAACGACGTTACAAAGAAGGACAGCTATCCCTTGCCAAGAATTGATGACACGCTGGACATGCTTACAGGAGTAAAATGGTTTAGCACGCTGGATCTAAAAAGTGGCTACTGGCAAGTTGAAATTGACCCTAAGGACAAGGAGAAAACTGCGTTCTCGACGGGAAAGGGTCTGTGGCAATTCAAAGTAATGCCGTTTGGGTTGTGCAATGCTCCAGCAACGTTTGAAAGGCTGATGGAACTTGTACTTACCGGGCTAATTGGCGATGCATGTCTGGTCTACTTGGATGACATCATCATCGTGGGCCGTACGTTTGAGGAACACCTTCAAAACCTGGAACGCGTGCTCATGAAGATTCAGAGTGCCAACCTCAAGTTGAGCCCGAAGAAATGTTCACTATTTCAACGGCAAGTTAACTTTTTGGGGTTTGTAGTATCGGAAGAAGGTATCCGCACAGATCCAGAGAAAATCGCCGCTCTCAAGGATTGGCCGGTTCCAAAAGACAAGACGCAGGTTAGAGCATTTTTGGGTTTGTGCTCCTATTACCGGCGATTCGTGAAGAACTTTGCAGATATAGCCAAACCTCTGCACAAGCTAACCGAGGAGAAGCGACATTTCTGCTGGGATGAAAGTTGCAATATCGCATTCCAGGAGCTCAAGGACCGTCTGTGCAAAACACCTATTTTGGGATACCCTGATGCAAGCAAAGAATTTATAGTTGACACAGACGCAAGTGATATAGGACTCGGCGGTGTGTTGTCTCAACGGAATGGTGACCAAGAGGTCGTAATAGCGTACTTTAGCAAGTCGTTGTCAAAACCGGAAAGGAACTATTGTGTCACAAGACGCGAATTGCTCGCTGTGGTAAAGTCGTTGCAGCATTTTAGCAAATATCTTCTGGGACGAAAGTTTCACTTACGAACTGACCATGCTGCACTAAAATGGCTATTGCAGTTTAAAAATCCAGAAGGACAAGTTGCGAGGTGGATTGAACTACTGCAAGAATACGACTTTGAGATCGAACATCGCAGCGGAAAATCTCACGGCAACGCAGATGCATTGTCAAGAAGACCTTGTCCTGAAGATTGCAACCATTGTACTAGGCAATAGAGTAAGGAAGAGGTATCCGTGAGGATGCTCTGGACGGACCACCTCAGCAACGAATGGAAGAACAGCTTACAACATGCACAGCAGGAAGATCCGGACATCAAGCCGATTCTGGAATGGATAAGGGCCAGTGCTCCCAAGCCTAAGTGGAGCGACGTCTCAGCAATGAGTTCAACCACTAAAAGCTATTGGGCCCAGTGGGACAGCTTGCTGCTTCAGGATGGAGTTCTGTGCCGTAAATGGGAAAATGTTCGGGGAGACAGCTGTTATTTACAAATGGTTGTCCCTAAAGCTAAAGTACCGGATGTTCTACAGCTGTACCATAATGATTATTCAGGAGGCCATCTGGGAGTTAAACGAACTCTACTGAAGATCCGAGAACGGTTTTACTGGGTCCACTGTCGAAACGATGTCGAGGACTGGTGTCGCAAATGTACAAGTTGTGCGGCTGTAAAGGGACCTCAGACTCGTAGTAGAGGTGCATTGAAGTTGTACAATGTGGGTGCACCATGGGAGAGAATAGCCATTGACGTGGCGGGGCCGTTTCCGGAGAGTGAAAGCGGTAACAAGTATTTCATGGTTGTGATGGATTACTTCACTAAGTGGCCAGAAGTCTTCGCCATTCCAAATCAAGAAGCTTCAACAGTTGCAGATAAACTAGTTCATGAAGTCTTCTGTCGTTTTGGAGTACCTTTAGAGATTCACAGCGATCAAGGAAGGAATTTTGAGTCTCAAATATTCCAGGAAACTTGCCGAGTTATGGGTACTCATAAAACAAGAACGACTTCTTATCACCCGCAATCTGATGGAATGGTGGAACGATTTAATCAGACATTGGAGAGGTACCTAGCAAAAGTTGTAGACAATCGGCAACGAGATTGGGACAAGCACATACAACCGTTTTTGTTGTCATATCGAAGTTCTGTTCACGAAAGTACAGCAGTGACACCAGCTTTCGCAAACTTTGGAAGAGAATTACGGCTGCCTGCGGACCTGATCACCGGGATACCACCTGATGCCCCACGCAGTATAACCGATTATGCAAATGACTTGCGGAACAAAATAAATGACATTTATGAGCACGTCAGACAATCGGGCCAGCAAATGTCTGAGAAAATGAAAACCCGGTACGACCGCAAAATGAACAACAAAGGGTTCGACGAAGGTTCACTTGTGTGGTTGCACAATCCAGTCCGCAGCAAAGGGAAATCTCCTAAGCTTCAAGCTAAATGGGACGGCCCGTACCGGATTGTAACCAGGATCAACGATGTGACCTACCGGATACAGAAAGGCGCAAGAGGGACTCCTAAGATCGTCCATGTGGATCGCTTGGCGCGTTATTATGGGACCGATAATGCTCGGGACGAGCATGTCTTAGGAGGGGGCAGTGTTGCATGAATAAGTCAACTAGCGCCATCTAGTGTCAGGAACGAGAGCGAGGGGAGCATTGAGAAAATGACATCACAAATCACTCAACTGACAGCGCCTAGTCGAAACTCGAACGCTCGGTACCTTCCGCGTGTTTACTTGAACATTCTGGATATTTCTTTGCTAATTTAAATATATAGGCGCTGCAAGATGCGAGGGAGGCAGTGTTGATTTGGGCGAAACAAGCGAAGCTTCGGAGTGGAATTAAGTGAATAAGTGTGTTTAATTATTAGTGTTTTTAACTTTAATTTGTGTAAAGTAAATTAAAGTGTTAATTTAGGTAATTTTATCGGCAATTTTTATTGTCACGAACCCTAAGCTCGTAACAATATGCTCGTTTTCACCCTTATTCTATAAAAAAAACTATTTTATTTTGATTTTATGATGTTCAGGAAGATGATATTAGTCCTAGACCATACAAATAAAAGAAATTGAAATGCCTGTCTGTATGCTATATGCATGCCATTAAGTCATGAATACCTATTTTTAAAATTTTACCTGTCTTTCTGTCCGTTCATCTATTCCTTTCTGTTCGATATAGCTGAACAGATTGTAATAAAACTTAACGAATAGATAGTAAGAAAGAGAGAGAGAGAGAGAGAGAGAAAGAGAGAGTAATCTAGGCATCTAGGCTATATTTTATTCGAAAAGGTTGGAGATTTTTTTAAATCTAATATTGGTAAAATATACGATCACTAGAGCCGTGGTAGCTCAGAACGCGAGTAACCCGGGTTCGATCCCCGCCGGCACCAATGAAATTGTTAATTGCAATTTTAAGTGCTGATTTACCACGTGCTCGTCGGTGAAGGAAAACATCGTGAGGAAACCTGCATGTCTGAGGAATAAGAAAAAAAATATTTCGAAGACATGTGAAGTTCGTCAACACGCATTTGGGCAGCGCGGCGGACACTTCCTTGCCCTAAACCCTCTCAGAAATGAGGGGAGGCCTGAGCCCAGCAGTGGGACGTATATAGGCTGTAACTTTACTTTTACTTTTATACGATCGCTACCAATTTTTTTAAACCAAAATGTTGACATAAATTACATTAATAGATTCCACGCAGACAAAGCCGGGGCAGTTCGTTAGTCTATATATAATATAGAATAATCACCTTTGGCATCAGGGTTCTAGTCCCCCTTGTGACGATTAGTTAGCTTACTGGTCGCATACGAAACCTGAAATAAAAAGAAAAAATCATATAACAAACCATTTTTTTATAAAAGTTTGGGTGATACGGAGGGGGCTATTCTTGGAGTTTCTCTATGTGATAGAACCCGTAACAATGGTATCCGTAGCAGCGTGACTTTTTAATTTATTTATTCAAAATATTTAAAAAACTAACAAGTGCATAAAAAAGAAAAATTTTGGCCCACCAGCAAAAACCTCACATGGTTCAATTGTTAATGACCACCATCAGCTATAAATCAATATACAATTAACGAATCACTATATATCCTTCTGGTTCCTAACAATATTATAAATTAACATGTTGATTTCTTATATTTACGCGAACACTATACACTGATTAAAACTACTTTTACGGATTTTATCGCGTTTTATTTAATGATTTCTTATATTTACGCGAACACTACACATTGAAATAATACTAGTTTTTACGGAATTTATCGCGTATATTTAACTTTTTAATTACCCGACGTTTCGAGAGCTTTACAGCACCCATGGTCACGGGAAGGACTGAGATGTTCAACGTCCAGCTGTCATAGTTAACCGCGGTTACCATAGATTAAAATTTAACTTTTGTTCCGATCTACACAGTATGAACTTATGGTATCATGGAGTCTTGCAGTTGTATGCTTGGGTTGGGATTTAATTTTATTTATTATAGGATCCCAAGCAGATGGTAGCACCCAGCCATCTTCTCTATTGAAATTAGGATGTTTTTTGATTTCAATAGCCTCGCGAATCATCCTTGGAAGGAATCGGTGTTCTTTAGCGAGGATTTGTGGTCTATCAAATCTGATGTAGTGACGGGGGGCGATCCTGTACATGTTCACAGACTGCAGACTTCCCGGAGCGTCGATTCTTCACATCAGCTATATGTTCTTTGACGCGGGTTTTAATGGATCTTTTAGTTTGTCCTATGTAGGAGAGACCACATTCACAATCAAGCTTGTACACTCCTGCATCTTGCAGAGGGACGTTACACTTGACTGATGGTAAAAACTGACCAATCTTCTTCGGCGGCTTGAAGTATGTTTTGATGGAAGCGCGCTTCAAGATGTAGCTAATCTTGTCAGTGACTCCTCTAACATATGGCAGTACAGCAGGTACACGCTCGACTGTGGCCGGCTTCACTCGTTCTCTGTGACGTAGGCGCGGGACCCGAAGCTTATTGTCATGCAAAACTTGCTTGACATGTTGGAGCTCGGCAGCCAGGTGTTTACTGTCACAGATCCCTCGTGCTCTCTGAAACAAAGATTTACCCACGGTAGCTAACTGTGAAGGATGGTGGTGAGAATCACCGTTTAAATATCTATCTGTATGGGTCTTTTTTCTATACACAGTATGGCTCAAGGTGTTATCAGGATTCCGAATTACTAACACATCTAGAAAAGCTAAGGAATTGTTTGCCTCTAACTCCATTGTGAACTGAATTTTAGAATTTATAGAGTTAAGATGGTCTAAAAAATGCAGTTACTTTATCTAAAGGTAGAATTGTGAAAGTGTCGTCTACGTACCGCTTGTAGAAACTTGGATTTATGGGAGAAGTAAGCAGGGCTTTCTCCTCAAAGTCTTCCATGAATATGTCGGCGACAATGGGAGATACAGGTGAGCCCATCGCCACACTATCTACTTGCTTGTAGAACTTCCACAATAGGTAGCCAGATGTAAGGCAGTGTCTGAGTAATACTGCATATTCTACGGGCATGTTGTTTCTTCCAGCCTTCTAGTTACAAAATGCAATAAACCAGAACTTACGATTCTCCGCGCAGATAAGGGAAACGCCACGGTAGTCATGGATACGTCAGATTATAATTCTAAAATACTAGAACTTTTGTCGGATGTAAGTACTTATAAAAAAGGTTAAAAACGACCCAACAAATAGCACACTAAAAACAACTAGTGACCTCATAAAGAAACACTCCGAAAAATTAAATCTGGACGTAAAATGGATAATACCTACGTGCGCCAGATCACCAAAATTGTATGGGTTACCAAAAATACACAAGCCCAATGCTCCATTACGTCCCATAGCGAGCCAAATCGATTCACCAACTTACAGATTGGCTCAACACTTAGCGAAAATACTCTCACCGCTCAGGGGACATACAAGAGCACACATAAAGGATTCGTACCATTTTGTCAGCGAGATTAAAGACCTACATCTGGCAGACAATGAAACTATGGTCTAAGACTGCATCTCAATTGTAACTAGAAGGCTGGAAGAAAACAACATACCCGTAGAATATGCAGTATTACTCAGACACTGCCTTACATCTGGCTACCTATTGTGGAAGTTCTACAAGCAAGTAGATAGTGTGGCGATGGGCTCACCTGTATCTCCCATTGTCGCCGACATATTCATGGAAGACTTTGAGGAGAAAGCCCTGCTTACTTCTCCCATAAATCCAAGTTTCTATAAGCGGTACGTAGACGACACTTTCACAATTCTACCTTTAGATAAAGTAACTGCATTTTTAGACCATCTTAACTCTATAAATTCTAAAATTCAGTTCACAATGGAGTTAGAGGCAAACAATTCCTTAGCTTTTCTAGATGTGTTAGTAATTCGGAATCCTGATAACACCTTGAGCCATACTTTGTATAGAAAAAAGACCCATACAGATAGATATTTAAACGGTGATTCTCACCACCATCCTTCACAGTTAGCTACCGTGGGTAAATCTTTGTTTCAGAGAGCACGAGGGATCTGTGACAGTAAACACCTGGCTGCCGAGCTCCAACATGTCAAGCAAGTTTTGCATGACAATAAGCTTCGGGTCCCGCGCCTACGTCACAGAGAACGAGTGAAGCCGGCCACAGTCGAGCGTGTACCTGCTGTACTGCCATATGTTAGAGGAGTCACTGACAAGATTGGCTACATCTTGAAGCGCGCTTCCATCAAAACATACTTCAAGCCGCCGAAGAAGATTGGTCAGTTTTTACCATCAGTCAAGTGTAACGTCCCTCTGCAAGATGCAGGAGTGTACAAGCTTGATTGTGAATGTGGTCTCTCCTACATAGGACAAACTAAAAGATCCATTAAAACCCGCGTCAAAGAACATATAGCTGATGTGAAGAATCGACGCTCCGGGAAGTCTGCAGTCTGTGAACATGTACATGATCGCCCCCGTCACTACATCAGATTTGATAGACCACAAATCCTCGCTAAAGAACACCGATTCCTTCCAAGGATGATTCGCGAGGCTATTGAAATCAAAAAACATCCTAATTTCAATAGAGAAGATGGCTGGGTGCTACCATCTGCTTGGGATCCTATAATAAATAAAATTAAATCCCAACCCAAGCATACAACTGCAAGACTCCATGATACCATAAGTTCATACTGTGTAGATTGGAACAAAAGTTAAATTTTAATCTATGGTAACCGCGGTTAACTATGACAGCTGGACGTTGAACATCTCAGTCCTTCCCGTGACCATGGGTGCTGTAAAGCTCTCGAAACGTCGGGTAATTAAAAAGTTAATTTATATACGCGAAAAATTCCGTAAAAACTAGTATTATTTCAGCGTTTTATTTATTTTAATTTTAATACCCGACGTTTCCCCCGTGACCATGGGAGCTGGAAAGCACCCGAAACGTCGGGTATTAAAATTAAAATAAATAAAACGCGATAAAATCCGTAAAAGTAGTTTTAATCAATTAACATGTTTTTTGGCTTTAATACAGTTTGAAATGTAAATTATTACTTAATCAATACATAGGTACGTGAACATATAAAAGCAATGACTTTGCCTTGACCTTTAGATCTCATATCTCTTATTTTATAAATTTATAAATCTATCTAGTCTGTTTACAATGTCAAAATAACAGCTTTATACTACATATGAATGTGTATACGGTACTAACCATTATTTATTTAAAATGACATCTTATCTCTTATTGTCTTATTTGAAAATTAAATTAGGAAAAGCAAACACAAGTGGATTAACTTTTTTATAGCATTGGAAGAAAATAATGACTTTATAAAATAAAGGTACTAAAATGTTTGCTTGTATATTAAACAATATGGCGTATAATAAACAAATATAATTACACAAGATTAACATAAGAATTAAAAGTAAACAGGCAACAAAGTTTGCTCGGCGTTAAAAAGAAAAATATAATTTTCTTAGTAATCAAAATCTATCTTGATAAACTTGGAAAAAGAAAACATTTTCTTATTACAAAATTTCATACAAATTGTTAGAGCCGTTTCCCAGAAGCCAATGAAATATAAACTTATTAAAATGCAGGATATATTTACAACAGATTATCTTGTGTGGAAGTTTTAATATATACTTTTTTATTTATTCATTCATCGATTGTCTTATAGGGGGATATTTGCCATAGTTTTCACGCTTTTGTTATGTAGAGTCACTTTACAGCTATATTATGGTTGTAGCATAAATAGCTTGAGCGAGGTTGGACGGGTAGGAGCACGCTCTCCCAGAATACCGAGATTATGAGAATAGAGAGTGTACCTGTGCTTGTGCATACACTTGGGCACTATAATCCTGTCCCGTGCCGATGACTAGCCTCCGTCAAGGCAAGCCGCCGTGGCCGAAATTCGGTCTCGAGGACATTGTATCGTAATAATGATGATACATACAACCGGGTTCGATCCCCGCCGGCACCAATTAAATCGTTAATTGCAATTTTAAGCGCTGATTTACTACTTGGTCGGCGGTGATGGAAAACGTCGTGAGGAAACCTGCATGTCTGAGGAATATGAAAAAAATATTTCGAAGACTTGTGAAGTTCGCCAAAACGCATTGGGGTAGCGCTGCGGACACTTCCTTGCGCTTAAACCCTCTCAGAAATGAGAGTCTCAGCAGTGGGACGTATACGGTGGGTGTCATAGGAGGCGACAAAAACAATTCAAGATATGGGTGGCAGCGTCTCCCTAATAACGACCAAAAATAAACTGCGGTTGAT